CCTCGTCCTCGTCCTCGTCCTCTTCCTCTTCCTCTTCCTCTTCCTCCTCCGCCTCCTCCTCCTCCTTGTCTTCCTCCTCCTCGTCGTCGTCCTCGTCCTCGTCCTTCTCGTCCTCTTCCTTCTCCTCCTCCTCCTCGTCCTTCTCGTCCTCGTCCTCGTCCTCGTCCTTCTCGTCCTCGTCCTCGTCCTCCTCCTCCTCCTCCTTGTCCTCGTCCTCCTCGTCCTCCTCGTCCTCGTCCTCGTCCTCGTCCTCGTCCTTCTCGTCCTCGTCCTCGTCCGCGTCCTGTCCTTCTCGTACTCTTCGTCTTCGTCCTCCTTGTCTTCGTCCTCCCAATCCCCCCCCCTCCTCCTCCTCCCCCTCCCCCTCCGCCACCGTACCCGAATACTGAAGACGAGCCTCCTCCTGGCAGGTCCAGCTGGTGGAACAGATGGGACCGTAACAGATGGAACGACCGCAATACCACCCCACAGACGACCACCACAACCACAACCACAACCACCACCACAACCACAACCACCACGCCCTCACCCCCCAAGAGCCTCAAGAAAAACTTTATAGATTCAGTGAAGCCGAATAGTGGTAAGACGCTGGATGCCGGTAGTCCTAGTTGTAGAAAATAAGGATTTGGCGCTGTTTGTGTGTAGAAAACGGGGATTTGGCGTTAATTGATGGTAGAAAGTGGGAAGTTGTTGGTAGAAAATGGGAATCTGGCACTATTTGATGATAGAAAATAGGAATTAGGAATTGTGTGATGGTAGAAAATGGGAATTAGGCATTGTATGATGGTAGAAAAGGGGAATTAGGCATTGTATGATGGTAGAAAATGGGAATTAGGCATTGTATGATGGTAGAAAATGGGAATTTTCATGGTTTGATAACGGAAAATGGGAATTTGGTATTATTGCATCATAGAAAATGAGGATTTTTTTTAGTCTGAGAATAGAAAATGGGGATTTAGTCTTGTTTTATAATAAGTAAACGTTAATTTGATATCAGTGAATTATATAAACTAGTAATTTAGCATAGATAGCTTATAAAAAATGAAAATTAGGCATTGTTGGATTATAGAAAATAGCAATATGGCAATGTTAGATTATAGAAAGTGGGAATACGGATGATATGCTCTTAGATGATATGAAATAAATAAAATTAGTCCTAGATAATGTAAGGCTTACTCATTTAGAATTAGACAATAAGGAAAATAGTCATTAAGCAACGGACTTATTTGGTACTAGATTTAAGTTGCTGTAGATGTTCATTATCAATTTTGCAGTTGATTGACATTTGACGTAAACAGCCAATCATATTTGTAGCATGTAATAGTAGAGATTTTTAGAGATTCGTGCTATATATTGCTGTCATGTTAAATATAATATAGAACTTAGATCTGCTTCTAGAATTACACACTTTTCTTCCTACAACTACACACATTAAACATCACAAAAATTCGATTTCTTTATCACCATACACCACCCACAGTGCACCATCGTCTCCTTTGTCACTATATGCACCTTCACAATCACCATATATATATAACCTCATCGCCATCACTATATCTCTTTTGACAATTACGATGCACGGCTGATAAAGCACCGCACACCATATTTCACCATCCTCCTCTCCGACATCACCATACTCGTTCCACAATCACAATCATTCCGTTAGTTATACTTCATCCTCCTTTTGTTCACTATGTCGTTGTTAGCTGTTATCATATACCATCCTCTCCACCATAACTTTTCAAAAGTCACCATACATAGAAACACACATGACACATTTCAGCTTCCATATACACAGTACATCACTCAGAACGCACCCGTGCCTTCACTATTCACACCAAACCCACCTCTCTCCGTCACCATACACACCATACTCGCCCTAGCCTCCGCCACACCCCATACCCGCCACTGACCGCCTCCCCCCGCAGATAATGAGTGTGAGGACCGCATCGCCAACATCGCGGGCAGCCTCACGTGCCAGGAGTTCCTCCGCTCCTACGGCTTCCGCTACTGCGGCCACCGCTACATCCAGAAGAACTGCTGTCGCTCCCAGAAGGAGATGTGCCGCGGGGCCTAGGAGGGCGTGGGCGCGGGCGCTTGTTTATCCCCCGGCGTGTGGGTGGGTGGGTAGCCTGAGCCTGGCCGCGGGCGTCGCTAGGCTCGTTCGTCCGTCCGTCTGTCTATCCGTCCGTCCGTCTTTCTGTCTGTGTCTGTCTGTCTATCCGTCTGTTTGCCCCAGTCTAGACCACCAAGACAGGACTCTCACGCCCTCGAAGGAACTGCTCGAGCGCCCTTGGCACTTCCGCCCGCCCGCGTCCCCGTGCCAGGCCTCCTCCGCCCACGAGTGGTGCTGGCAACGGCCGCAAATGCAGCGTCTGTGCAGCTGCAGCGTCGGGTCGTCCGGCATTGCAGAGCGGTTGCAGGATCGGGTCTGTTCCCCCTCTGGAGGCGGCGGCGACTTGCTGGCAAGACGGCGCCGCTGGGAAGCAGAGAGGGAAGG